GCCGGGGCAGGACGGGGGTCGCCTGTTAACGCCGAGAGGCGCCACCAGTAAGTGCTGCTGGCCGGGCCTCCTGAGGGCTGGGAACGCCGGGCTGCGGCCCGGGGATGTGGTGTCGGTGAGTAGCTGGGCAGCAGGTAAGGGCTGGGTACAAAAGGGGTTATTTCTAAGCGTTGGTGAAAGTGCGTCTAGACGAGGAGCCTCCGTATATGGGAGATTCCTTCTACCTGGGAAGGGGCTCTGGGTGAGGATCAGAGGAAAGGGGGAAATAAAAATCCTTCAAAATGGTGAATTAATAGCCTTGCAAAGAAGTATCTTCTGTGATTTCGTAGCCTTAAAATAGACCGAAGTCTACGCTCGGAAATGCCTCACAAGTAAATGAGGTACTAACGTTTAAAGTGAATAAGTAATAAATCCTTAAGTAATGTTACAATATTCCTCCTAAGATAAGTCTAGCTGCACTCTTAGAATAACTAGATTAAGGTGGGGGGTAAACAATAGTCTAATCTGTCGTTCCAGGAATATGAAATTAAATTGCACATTTGGGAATGGGAAGGCTATATATATTTTCCACATGGTACCTGAAGATGTTTGTGTATCCTGCCTAACGTCTGTGTACGTAACTGGTTTTCCAAACAGGGAGAAAAGCAATGTTAAATATCCTGGAAGAGTTTTTTGAACTTTTTTTTTTTTTAAATATGCTACAAAATGCGCTCTATGAATATTTTTCAGAATACTCTAATAGGAATCATTAATGAGGAATACTGAAGAGTAAACAAACGAGATTTAACAGATCTCGTTATGAGTTTATAAGGTTACGAAATAAACCCGCAAATATTCTATAGTTTTTGTTACAGTTTTTACTTAGTTGACTTTATATGCACGAGAGATGAACACAAATGCTTGTGTCTGGCTGGACATACTGATTTAGAAGCTGTAAAATTTCAAAAATTTTTCTGAGAAAGTTTTTAAAATGTCTCACCAGAGCAAAACAAAACACCAATGTATTTTGAAACTAGAAGGAAGTTTTTGGTTTGTTTTCGTAAAGTAAACCAAAATAATGAACATATTTTATTTCAGGGAAAAATTGCTGCACAATAACTGGGAAATGTATGCTTTTGAACAGCTGAAGTCTTGTAATGGGCCTGTCCCATTGACCCCATGGGAATCCTATCAGTGCCCTGCTTGTTCATGGAATATGTAATTCAGTGTTATGGGGTATTTACCATTCATTTTTGCACTCAGATAATAAAAATAAGATGTCCCTTATTATTATTGCAGTCTTCAGTGTTTTGATTCTCATATCTGTTTCCTGTCAAACACTTCAGTTATCTATTCTTGGGTTTTCAGTTGCCCAAATATATCCTGAAAACGAACCAGTCAGTTAACATAACTGTCAGTGTAAGGAAGTTAAAATTGTTCTGCAAATGTTCATTGTACAAAGCCTTACTAGGAATTTGGTGTCATTGAAAAATAACTGGTTTAGATTATTTGAAAAATTCAGCTTTGATTTTTCTGAGGATAAGATCATTTGAGTATGGTGCAGTGAACATATGTATTTGAATATATCACTATACTGTCTGAAGGTAATTGCCTGAAAGACCTCACAGTCTGTGCCTCCAATCTTGCACACAGTTACCTGGACACTGAAACTTGCTGCTTTGAATAGTCCCATTCTTCAAAGTAAGTGCCTTCAGAACTGTTTGTTGGTTTTCTTTAAAAACAAAAAGGGAGTTTGTGGCTGCATACTGGATTTGAATGAAGGCTTCCATATTTCTGTAAGTGTTGCTCTACTTTGAATGGTCTACTTGAGCTTTACATGAGCAGTAAATTCAGCTCCTTCAGGATGAAGTTATCAATTTGCTGGGCATGTCTTATACAGCTCCAGAGTGTTTGTACCTGTGGTCATTGCCAGGATTTCCAGTTATCAACTGACTCTCAAGTCCAGCTGTCATAGAACCAGAAATCCTGTACAAATACAGAATATCTTAAGAATGGCTTAGGGCAAGAAATTTAGTTGGACAAAGAGGTCATATCAGAGGGGTAAAAACAAGTCCATGGCAGCAGACTTTGTGTTCAAATGAGTCATGTGAAGTGTCTGTGGCTTTTGTGTAGCTTTTCCCCTGTTCAAGGGAATCGACATCCTTCTTCTATCCTGCAACCTGATAGGTTGAGGATGTTCTCCAGAAGGCATTTTTGAAGTCTGCTGTGCATACCTCAAGTCACTATAGTAGGCCCAATGTGCTGTATAACTAAAAATAAGTTAACAGGAAGTACTGTAAATGAACATAAAGGATGTCTCTGAGAGTAAAGTATACACTAATAAGTTTACTGAAGCTAAGCATAGGACAATAGTCAAATAAAGAACACAAGACAGACAAACAAAGAACCTAGAATTTGACACTACAAGGGCACTCTAGTTTCTGCATGGGTTGCTTCAAGGAGGAACAGTAAGAAGAAGGGGGAGCCCTGTAACTCATTGCAAATAACTTTTCCAAAAGGAGACTACATAGGTGCAGATGCATAAATGAACATTCATGGAATACAGTTCAACCAGCTGGATTGTGTAAAAGGAGAAATCTTTTGAGCCATCAGTGAAAATAATTTTTTTTCAAATAGCTGTTTCAACTCAGCAATCATAATCTTACAAATGTAGAGAAACTATTGAACATATTTCCCCTGTGTGGGCATCTGCCAGTTCCACTGCAGAAATATAAGACTCAAAAAGACAACTCCAGGTCATCAAGTCCTAGTGCCTGCTGTTTCATTCGGCCACATAATAGATCTTCATAGCATAAATGGGATTTGATGTGTTTCAAAGGTAGTGAGGGTTTTTCACACAGAACAATTGCTCCAGACCATCACTTCTCTGATGGTTAGAAAGGCAGTTATGCAGACTAATTTACAGCCTCTTCTGTTTGGATATCTTGTGTGCAGGTAACAATGCTGTATATGTGTGTGTATAATAGTGTGGTTCTTCAGGGCTCCTTCTTAGGCCCAGTGCTCTTCAACATCTTCATAAATGACTTGGACACAGGTCTCCAGGGGATACTGAGCAAGTTTGCAGATGCCACGAAACTGGGAGGAGCTGTTGACTCCCTCGACAGCACAAATTAGAGGGCTGGGCAATCACCAACCATGTGAAGTTCAACAAGGGAAAGTGCCGGATTCTACACCTGGGATGGGCAACCCTGGATGTACAGGCAGACTGGGGAATGAGATGCTGGAAAGCAGTGCCAGGAAAAGGACCTGGGGGTCCTGGTCAATGGCAAGTTGAATGTGACTCAGCAGTGCCCTGGCAGCCAGGAGGGCCAACTGTATCCGGGGGGCATCAGGGAAAGCATCACCAGCCACAAGAGGGAGGGGATTGTCCCACTCTGCTCTGCACTGGGGCAGCCTCACCTGGAATATTGTGGCACTTTTGGGCACCACAATATAAGACAGATAATAAGCTATTAGAGAGTGTCCAAAGGGGGGCAACAAAGATGGTGAAGAGCCTTGAGGGGAGGCTGTATGAGGAGTGGCTGAGGGCACTTGGTCTGTTCAGCTGGAGGAGACTGAGGGGAGACCTCATTGCACTTACAACTTCCTCCTGAGGGGAAGAGGAGGGGCAGGCACTGATCTCTGCTCTGTGGTGACCAGTGACAGGACCTGAGGGAATGGCCTGAAGTTGTGTCAGGAGAGGTTTAGGTTGGATATTAGAAAGAGGTTCTTCCCTCAGAGGGTGGTTGGGCACTGTACAGGCTCCCCAGGGCAGTGGTTACAGCACCAAAGCTGACAGAGTTCAAGAGGTATTTGGATGATTCTCTCAGGCACATGGTGTGACTGTTGGGGATGGTCCTGTGCAGGACCAGGAGCTGGACTCGATGATCCTTGTGGGTCCCTTCCAACTCAGCACATTCTGTGATTCTGTATACGTACAGTATTGTATATATTTAATAAATATGCCCTCTGGTTTGTTTTGTTTTTTGAGTTTCCACTTGTGAAACAGACTCTCTGCTTCCTGATCACTCCCAGTATCTTTTTCACTGCATTTCTTCCCATCAGAACTTTTGTTCTTAATAAGCCTAACACGTGCTGTGTGCAAAGGCATTGTTACTTCCCTTGTCTTCTGGAAAATCCTGTGTGATTTAAATTTTAGGATTGTATTTAACTTTCTCTGTCGCAATCACCTTAATGACTCACGATCATCCTTTGATTAGTTATTATTCCAATGTCTTCCTCCTCTGTCCACTTTCAATTTATAACCTTCTGGTTTGCAGCAGAAATTATTTCCCAATGACTTTGCCATTTGTACTTTTCAATTTTTATTTTTGTTTGTTTGTTTTCTTCCCCCCCCCCCCCCCAGACTGCTCTGAGTTGTTGTGAAGGAGAAGCTGGTGTACATGTCAGGATAAACATACTAAATAGAAAAACATGCTTGGCCATAAAGTGTGTACTAGGAATCCTGCTAGAATTCATGGGAACAGTGAATAGCTTTTGTTTTGTGTGAGTGCATGTAATATTACATAGAATGGGAATTTTTTTCTCAAGGCTGACATGGGGGATGGCAATTTGTGTCACGTATGCCTTTCCATTATCTTTCACTGTACATGTTTTTCACTCTTGAAATGCCAAATTAATATTTGATATGCCAGTTATAATTTGGCAGGGTTTATCACAAACAATAGATGTTATCTGTTTGTACAAAGCAAGTGATAAATCATATGGCCTCCAACATTAAATGTAAGATGGCTTAAAAGAGCCACACAAATAACTCTTCAAAATAAAATTTCTTATAAATTTTCTATCAGATGATAAGTACAGGTTTTGAAAAGTGCAGTGAGAGGAATCCAGATGGTGGAGTAGTGTAGAAAAGACAGGTCACTCATTTTGGTCAAACAAGGAATATAGACACACATCCCCCACTCCCCCCCAAAAAAGTCTGGTGCTTAATCTGCTTATAGGGCAGGCTGATAACTAGAATGATGAGGCTGGTAACAAAAGAAACGTAATGGGAAAATGATCCACTCAACATGTAATTAATACCAGCATCTGTCACCATTTAATGAATGCTGCACTAATCAGAGGATTTTGTCATGTTAGTAAAATGTGGAGCTACTTCCCTGTAAAAGGCAGGACTCACACGTACACAACCCCACCGGCATTGTGTGCAATATTCCACACGGGATCTGCTCGTACAACAGTCAGGATGGCTGAACTTTGTCAAATATGCAACTGCAGAATTGTATGTTTGGTCAGAGCTCAGCAACTGCATTCTCTAGCAAATATATACAGGCCATGTAGATGAGCAAACAGTGCAAGTAACCAGGCAAACAGTTCTGATGGATGTTCTTGTTCTTTACCCCTCATTGCTCCTATTGTTTAGTGTTCGCCTCTACATCTTCAATCAGTTTCTGATTAAATCAATATATTCTGAACACAGCATGTTATTTTGGATACTGAGAACTACAGTATTTTCTTAAAAGACCCTATAATTAATTGTTTTAATTGAAAAAATAAAGTTGTTTTCTGGCTTTTTAGTTTTAAGTAAAAATTCTGAACCTACAGCACTAAAATCTTTAAGAATGTTTTTTTAAAAATCCTTTCTCAATAAACAACTCAATTCTATGTCTAATCCCTGTAAGTACTAAATTGAAAAAAAAAAAACCCACAACAACAAAACCCAAACAAAACCCAACAAACCACACATGAAAAAAACCCCACTCACAAATTATCATTTTCAATAAAATTTCAATTTTAGGAGACATATTAATAGGTGATTATTGTAATGATTGTGGGCTGGTTGATTTTCAGTTGTGAGTACCTTTGGGTTTTATTAAACCTGCAAGGATAGCTCCTCCATTTGGGAAAAAAGGTATTATGAAGTTAACTATTGAATGCTGGCCTTGTTTTTAAGTCTTAATGATGACATTTGATGTGTAACCTATTTGATTGACAGGAGATGCCATTTGAAGTGCTTAAGCCAGATGGATTGGAAGGGGGGGAATTAACAGATGTTATAATAGTAATTGAGCTGAAATTAATTTCATGTTATACAAAACAATTTTTTTGAAGGATGTCTTATTCTAAGTAAAGATCTGTGGGAGATGAACCTTTTTCAAAATTCTACTATTTTATTTGCATTTGAAACCTGGAGGATACCATACCAATTATTGCCTATCTGGACCAATTCTATTTAAGTCTCTTCTTTGACTTTTCAAAGCAAGAATTTGTTCTTAACAAACAAAAACAGCACAGAAATTTTTCTAGGGGGAGTTTAAAAAAATTAT